CCCCCCCCCCCCATACCTTAACCATGGTAATTAAGAGGTATCCACCCCTTTCTGGCAGATTAACGACGCGACGCCATAAACCATCTAGACGCGTGAAGATCAAGGCCTGTCTTCAATATCAGAGTCTACCCGCGTCGTATTAACAAGAAACAGTCGTAGAAGCTTCTAGAACCTTCCATCCTGCCGAAAACCTCCTAGCAATCCTGCCGATAAATATAACGAACCGAACGAAATCGCCGACAGAACAAAATTACGAGACGAAGACTAAATATCGAAGGAGGACTCACTGGTTTTCTTTTTATCAGGGCATAGGGAGATAATTGATAAGAAAAAAAAAGGGGGGGGGAAAGAGTATCGATCGCCCTGAAAATTCCTGAGTTGTAACGGTCATGGGTTACGGCGTATGTAAATAAGGCCCGGACTCCTCGAGGGTCTCATATACCTCCCCTCTCTTGCCCCTCTAGTTGGTTCGTCGAGTGGGGGAGACTCCGAGCAAAACTAATTGATTTCTCGCATTAAGATCGGCCACGGGAATGTATTTCGAGTGGAACGTAAGGATAGCTACGATATCCGTGAATGTTCTGTACTTGTACCTATGTATACATATATACATATATAATATACGTATATTGAGTATAATAGAGAGAGAGAGAGAGAGAGAGAGAGAGAGAGAGAGAGAGAGAGAGAGGGAGAGAGAGATATATAATATACGTATATTGAGTATAATAGAGAGAGAGAGAGAGAGAGAGAGAGAGAGAGAGAGAGAGAGAGAGAGAGGTGCGCATGCGCGTGTGCCTGCGTAACAGAGAGATTTGCGAATATACGAGGCGTGCGAGAGAGAAGAAAGAAAAACGGCCAAGGTGGGTTCCCGATCGGTAGAGGTACGAAGGAGCGACCGAGAGCGAGCATGAGAGAGCAAGAGAGAGAGAGAAAGAGAGAGAGACGAGAATAAGGGCTCCCTCGAGGTATGCAGTTCGGTATAGTTTATGCATTGGCCACATTCCTCTCCCATGCCTTTCGAAGCCTACTCTCCTTCCGATGGCTGGCTTCTCTTTATAATCCATGTCATTGTATTCGACTTGAGGGCTCTTTTGTGTATTTATAATTTCAAACGAGAGAAAAAGGAAAAGGGTACATACCATTTGTATCGCGGGGACAGGATTGTTTTACCGTCCCGTCTTTCAGCCACGACGAGACTCTTACACGTAATTTACTTAATTTAGCATCGTTCGAATGTCCCGCGCATTTTTAAATCTGACCGACGCCTCCCCACGAACGTTATAAACGGACACGTTTAAACACGTTCTTATTTTAATTGCAACAAACACGCCCGATAACGCTAACGGCCAATCAATTACCTATACGTGACTGGTTTTCACGTATTATCATGTACGTCCGCCTGTGACTATTGTAATCGACGTTTCAATTCGGTACCCAGAATCCAACGGAGGCTGACGGTTAGGGTGATAAAATGGCGTCGGCCTACGGCAGCCACTCTAATGGCTCTCCATTCACGCGGAACGATTCAATTTTCAGTATGGATTATCGTGCGGGAACAGTCATACAAATTATACTAATAAACTAGCGCGATATAGCGTGCAGCGTGTGTCGGAAGTTTCTACGAGGTGAAGTGAGCGCGTAAGACAAGTCTCGCGCATGCGCAAACAGCGCGGGCACCGTAATACGCGCGATAACCTGGAAATTGTCAGTTACGATACCTTTAATAAAATTCTCAATGCCAGGAATCATTCTTCTCTGTAAGCACCTGCTGCCTTCTGATACCCGACATGATACCCATACACCTAACCTCCAAGCCACATCAATCCTGGTTACACTGTGAAGCAACGTGAAAATTACAATGGAGAAAAATGAAAAACCGTCATATCGATACATCGTGTCAAGACTTGAATTTGATGAATTTATTAAATCAAAGAGGTAAATGCGTTGCTGGCGTCTCCATATGTAACATCTTGAATTTACGTATTACAGTAGACAAACTCAAAGCTCAAATTCAAGATATATCTTGAGCAATTCTCGAGAGGGGTTGCACGACTTTTTCTGCAATAGAAATTCGTGTCTGGACAGGTTCGAGTATATATATATATATCCTATGTATAATATATATACATATATATTGAGGTAGGATGTATAGTTAAATGTGGGAGCGCCTCAGGTCAGACATAATAGTGTGTTGGGCTGCAGGTTAAACTGGCGGCAGGCAAAGGCAGGTTGGAACAGGCAAAGGAATGCCGCGGGAGTAAAAGAGAGTAAAGTGAGAGAGTGAGAGGGAGAGAGGGGGAGAGAGAGAGAGAGGATAAAGAGAGGACTGCTATTTCTTCCTTGGTCATCACTATCTAAACTCCTTTTTCTTTCTTTTGATATGGGAAGTAACGAGAGAGAAAACGAAAGGTTTTATATCTCATGACTCCCTCTCTCTCACTCTATCTTACAGAATGTGTACACAGTCACGCACCGCGTGTCCACTATATATATATATATACACACCTATTCCTCTTCATAGGAAGAACCCAAGGGTTCGAGAGGGAGACTTTTCGTCAGCAATTCTCTCCAGGATTTGAGGTATATTAGTCACCCGAGACAGCCACTATTTTTCAGACCCTCTCCTTCCTTGCCTCTCCCATCTCCCTCCACCTAGTCACCCTTTCTCTCTCGCTCTCTTTCTCCTCGCTATTTACATTCCGAGTCTCGATCAATTCACGCGCCCCGTTTCGTATAACCGTTCGGCCGCAAATATTCTCATAGTTTTCAGCAATGACGTAACGAAGGTAGGAAAAAGGAGAAAAAAGACGAGATCGAGAGAACAATAACAATGCGCCCCGTCGAAGCGTAGCGTAACTGCAGAGACACGCTTGTCCGTCGATCTAAATAAATAGCGCGCTCCGTCGGTAACGAAGATACCTGACATATCCTCGGGGTAATAAGCACGTAGAAATAGGTACGACAGTTACAAGTTGAAGCAGTATCGCCATGACTAAGGTATCGATTGGACGGGGACTCTGCGCGCATTCACGTTCACGAGTAATTAGAGGTTCCTGGTGGCTTCGTTGCACGCGGCGAGTTGAAAGAGGACGTACATACAGACCGAACATAAATTTACCCGGTCAAATATTTGAGACCCGACACGAAAAGGCTGCCTCCGCAGTCCCTTCAGCCGGGTTATAATACTCTCCGTCCCTGTGCCATTGCTTGGCTTCTATGGGCGACTAGTCCTCCCACCCGTCTCCCCACTCACTAGCTGTCTCTCGCTCACTCTCCCTATAGCACGCACTCCTATACTCTCTCTGTGTTAATACCTCCCTAGACTCCGGACAGTGGACTGTATACAAAGGTTAGACAGTACTCAGCTAAGAAACGTAGACTATCTGTACATACACGGAGCTTGAATAGAAGCAGCCAGATCTCAAAAGGGGTTCTGGAGACCCCGTCTAAGAACAAGATTCCGTATCCTGTATGGACTATTTCCGGAAAACATGATTACGTATATTTTTTTTTGGAAAAAAAGTATACTTGGCATCTCATCGTGAAATATTATTATAAAAATCGACGGATAGTGTACCGTGACTGTTTCCCTATGGACGCGTAGAGAGTGACTCTAGGTATCCGTTAGTATCGATCCATCGATCTTGGAGTGTGACGATTCTTGGGATTTTAAGGATCCCACTGATGAGGAGTTCGAGGCGTCACTGAACTCTCAGAGAGAGAGAAATCATAAATAGTGTAGAAAAAGTGTTAGAGGGAATATCCTTATACAGAATATTATATATGAGCGATCACACGCCAGAGAGTAATCATCGCGTGTAATCCGTGCGATTGTAAACGTAGAATAACAATGGCGCTAATAATTCGCTGGAGTTGAAAGTGAAGAGTTATGGATAACGACGGATCGATGTGTCGGAATATTTTTGTTTCACCCGGTAGAATAAAAAATGGCAGCGACCCGCTGGGACAATCTTAACCCTGAGTGCATACATTTACTTCCTACATGACTCCATACTGTATAGTTATATACACAGTGTATATGCACTGTGCACTTCCCTACCCTCCATATGCATTAATGCAAATGCATCGGTGGATGCACAACGGTAGTTAGTTTAGTATTCCAATTGGTCTCAATTAGCCGGCCGGGAGGTTCGCCCCGCGAAATCGTTAGCGTTGCGAAACCACCTGAAGAGCGCGATGGGAATGAAACGAGAGAGAGAGAGAGAGAGAGAGAAAATAAAAATAGAATATATGAAAGACAAAGAGACGAAAAAAAAATGTATAAGAATATTCAATAAATTTAAGCGAAAATCTTTCAATTAACCGGAAAATAAAAATAGAATATATGAAAGACCGGGAGGTTCGCCCCGCGAAATCGTTAGCGTTGCGAAACCACCTGAAGAGCGCGATGGGAATGAAACGAGAGAGAGAGAGAGAGAGAGAGAGAAAATAAAAATAGAATATATGAAAGACAAAGAGACGAAAAAAAAATGTATAAGAATATTCAATAAATTTAAGCGAAAATCTTTCAATTAACCGCACTTCCACTCAACGATTCACGTAGTCAGCGTATTTAAATTTTTATCGACATATTTCACCATAATTAATCCAAGCTCGTACGAGAGGTACTCGTTGCCACACAAAGCTTCATTGTTGTCAAGCATATATATATTTATACATCGGTAACCATGGATACCAGGTACATTGATACCAGTGCCATAAAAGTCGTTCGCAAACGCATCTAATATACTGCTTGACCCGAGATGTCAAGTATTTCCAAAGTATAACGTATCGGCGTGTCACGTGGTTACACGGGAATCGCACACGTGCACTGGCTAATAAACCCAAGAGAGATCCGTCGACCCATTTTCGAAGTTCGAGTTAATTTCTTGGTCGTTCAAGAATTCATGACCGTGTCGAAGTAAAATGGGAATATAATTTTTTTATTACAACTTACCAACGAGTCTTCTCGTCAGGTATACTAATTAGGGGAAATATTAAAGGTAGCGTACACAACGAGACCCCGTGGTGTCGGGTGTGCGTATAGGGAGATTTAGTGAAGGATGACAAGTTCGGAATGTCGACGCTGGTAAAAATCCGTGGCGCGCGAGGGTTGAGGATCTAAAGAAATTTAACGCAGATCCGGATACTCGTTTGGGGTAAAGTTAAAGGATAGGAGAGAAAGAGAAGAAAATTGCGGGTAAACCGGGAAGGAAACGATGAATTTACATGAGTTTCCGGGTGCCGGCGCGTACATTGTTCACGGCGCTAGTGTCGTTTCGCAATGGCAACGAATAGGATTCTCAAACACATCGGAATATTCGTGGCGCGGTGACGCCTAGCGGCTGAAAACGGTACTAACCGTTCGTACCGAACGGGTATGATTTTTCTTGAAAATTTTTACTCGATTTTACTCGAAAACGAGTTTCCACGTACTCGAGCGACGCGACAATTATATCCAGGGGGCTGACTGTACTTCGCGTTGCCATAATTTAATTAATTCGAATTACAGCCTGGCCCCTCCGTGGCGCGACAGTCGCGCTCCTCAACTCCTGTCATTATTCGCGCGGTAAATTTGAAACTGTTCAATTAACCGAACAAGCGCACCAGAGAACTGCGAACGACGGGACAACACGAGCGACGGGAGGATTGATGTAGCTCGTGTAAGGGAGGCCGAGGCATTAGTCAGCTTATACACGGTGTCTACGGTTGCCTAATAATCTCTCTGCAAAATCACTACGGCCACGTGTAATTACACGACGCGCATGGTTCGTTATGGACCTGACGAGGATCCTGCAAGATGGACCCAGCTCGGATTATCATGTCGACCCTCTGTCACACGAGGGACGTTGAGACGGACTAATCACTAAATTATTACCTAGACTGACGATTTTCAAAAAATTCGAAAAATCTTATCAGCACGAATATGCGTGACGGGGTTCGGTAGCTGCACGGAAGAAAAAAAAAAGTAGGGTCCCATCGGTTATCGAGTAGCGACAGACTGACGTTAACCAAGAGCCAAGGCTGTGTCTCGTATCGACCTCCTCCCC